CCTCAAGATTCATTGAGTCAGAATAAAACAAGGATGAGTTAAGATGTAAATGTTCTGTTGATCTTACATCCATATTTTCAAATACTCGAATTATAAAATTTTAAAAGTTGAAGATAACTCATGAGTTTTTAATTATTATAATAATTCGAAACTATTTAATGTTATTGTTCATTGAAAAGATATAGAATTTGCTAGAACACTCACGCATATTTATGATGCTCTAACCTAAAAAATATGATAAAAGTGCTTTAAATATTGATATTGTATTTTCTACAACAAAACATGATACAGATGTGTTTCCTACAGGAACTACGCATTTCCTGTCTGATTTTGTAGTTTAGTTCGATGAAAATCAGGTTTTCTTTTATCCAGATAAACATACAACAATATTGATATAGTTACTTTTCATTTCCTTGTTTTATGTTAATGATAAGATGAAAAAGTATCAGTTGCGCATTTAGTTTTGTCTGATATTCTTTGAATATATATATGAAAACATATACTAAAATCTTTATCTTATTTTTCTAGTTTCACAATTTTTGTAATTAATCTACAAAAACACTACTATCATAATAATAATTAGTTTTTATATTTCTAAAGTTATTATGATGCATTGGCAATTGTTATATTTTATTATATTATTATCGATGATAATAATTAAATCGAATGCATCATTTCTTTATAATACAAATGATAATTCAAAAACAGTTTTCGATTGTCTTTATGCTTATATAATTGATGGCCATGCTCAATATGAACACGTTTCATTTCGAACAAATTATCTAATACCTTATTGTCGACGTTCACTATCAACTGACCCTATTAATAAAATACAAGGATATATAGAAAATACAGATACATTTAAAAATTTACGTTTACGAGGAATTACGAGTGACGATCTTCTTCGATGGTCAACATCAATTGATATAATTGAACAATATTCTATATATCTCAGTAAAAATAATACCGGATTTGATGAATTTATTTTTAATAATTGTTCATCATTATGGTTTGGTTCGAATTGTCAATATACATTTAATCTGAGTATACCTATCGAATCGTTTGGGGATTTCGTAAATTCTTCATTTGTAGCTCGTAGAAACTATATGGAAAAAATTTTGATCCATACTTGTTATCCTCATTTATCTGGATGTTATCGTGGTCCTGAGCCGATGTGTTTAGATTGGCGTGAAATATGTGATGGAAAAATCGATTGTATTGGAGATAGTTTTGGTATCGATGAAGAATATTGTGATGAACTTGAAACAAATGAATGTAAAGAAGACGAATATCGATGCCATAATGGAGCACAATGTATTCCATTCGAATTCTTTCGTGATAGTCGACTAAGTAAAGATTGTTTGGATGGAACAGATGAAACTGAAGATAATGGTGTCATGGGAACTTTGCATTTTAGACAACCTTTAGAATGCATCGATTCAATGATATTCGCTTGTGAAGAGAGAACATGTCGTCAACCACATCTATTTTCGTGTGGCGATGGAAGTTGTACAAATTATTATAGAATTTTTTATCTTGCTGATTTTTTCCCAAACGCTTGTCCAGGTACAGGTCGGGTTGCCTACTATCGTCGAGCAATGTATAAATCCGCCAAACAATATTCGAATGATTGTTATCTTTTATTATTCTGTAAACTCGGTTTTTATAAAATTCTCAAAAATGATACATACAATATAACACATTGTTTAGGTGCAAATTGGTTATCAAATAATTGTACATTAGAATATCTTTCATTTCCTCGTGAACCTATTTTCTATGGTTATTTTCAACCTCTTTATTCAAAACAACTTTTGATCAAAAGTGACAATGGTGATGGATGGCCATCATACATCTGTACTGATCCACGATTATGTTTATATTTGCCAAATGCAACAAGACATATAAATGATTTAGCTTGTCGTTCAGCTCCTAGATATGAATATCCTAATCTGGGTTTGTCAGCTTATTTGACAGAAGATGCTAAGATTTGTGCATTAACGGGAAATATTAATAAATACGAATCGATTTCATCTTTATTTTATTGTGAAAAATCTCATAAATATATATCGAAACATCGTCTCATTGATGGTATTCAGGATTGTTATCATGATGAAGATGAAAGTTATACACATAGTTGTTCGTTAAATGATACTCAACGTTTTAATTGTACATCAGAAACAAAATGTTTGTCACCTCTAGGTATTGGCTTTGATTATCCTCAATGCAAAAATGGAGAAGATGGATACATTGAAAGTCATGAAATATTTGTATATTCACATCTTTGCAATCATATAAATCATGATCCACAGTTACCACCAGAAAATAATGAAAACGATGAAACCAGTTGTCAATGGTGGCCTTGTCATACACCGTATACTCGATGTGATAATGTTTTTCACTGTGCTAATGGCATCGATGAATTAAATTGTCCTAATGTTAATTGTAATATTAATGAATTTAAATGTCAAATTATTAATTCAACTAATAATTATTATTGTATTCCTCAACAATATATTTACGAAAAACCAGTCGATTGTATTAATCATGATTTTAGGGATAATCTATATCGAAATATATTTTATTCGAATAGTTTAACTTTTAATACTAATAAAGAATATATATCATGGAAAGAAAAGACCTGTTTAACAAAAAATGATATTTGTGGTAATTCATCGACTAATGATCAACAATTAATATGTAATATTGTTGAAAAAGAAAATATTCGTTTTAACTATACATTCTCAGTAGATTTGTATAATAATGGAACATTATGTCGCATAGCAAAGAATACTACTGACCGCGTCCGTAGTCCTTATTATTTTTCTACATGGAATTTGGGATATTTTCCACCAATAATAAATCAGATATCATTATCGTCTCAACAATCTATCAATATTAAGCCACAAAAACCTCTCGAAATACATACTAGTATTGAATTAATTGAACATTGTAATCGTGGAATTGTTATATTCGAAGGTAAATCATTTGAAAAGAAATGTTTATGTCCACCTAGTTATTTTGGTGAGAGATGTCAATGGCAAAATCAACGCATTAGTTTAACATTTCAGATACGACCATTAGGTTCACATGAGAATAAACAATCTATTTATGAAATATTCATTTATTTAATTGATGATGAAAATGGAATAATACATAATTATGAACAAATAAATTATATTTCATCGCTAGATTGTAATACAAAATACAATCGTTATTTACTTTATCCTGATCGACCAAAAATTGTCAATCATACATATTCGATACGTATTGATATTTATGAAAAATCAACATTAATAAACTATTATGGAAGTTGGAATTTATCTATTCCATTTCCATTCTTACCAGTTAATCGTATATCAACACAACTTCGTATTCCATCAGAAAAATCTCAATTATCAATAAATTGTTCAATTCAATGTGGAAACAATGGAAAATGTTACAGATATATTAATTCAACAAAAGAATTTTGTTATTGTGATCAAGGTTATTCAGGTCGTTTTTGTAATATGACATATCAACATTCTTGTTCATCTGGTTCAACTGCTTTAAATACATCAATTTGTTTATGTCCATTAAATAAATTTGGTTCAAAATGTTATTTACAACATAAATATTGCCAATCTAATAAAACTTCATGTCAAAATAATGGTAAATGTATACCTTATAATTATCATACAAATTATGATAATTTCATTTGTTTATGTCCTGAAAATTTTATGGGATCTCATTGTGAATATCAATCAAACAGAATAAATATTAATTTCAAAAACGATTCAATCCCGTCATTAGTTTTTGCTCATTATATAATTTCACATGATGATAAAAGACATGAAAGAATATTAAGGTTTAAAAAAATTCCATTTGATCAAAATTCAATTGAATTATCCTATACAACTCCGTTTAATTTATTATTTATTGAATTCGAAAAAAATTATTATCTTACTGTAGTAAGAGAAAAACCAATTCGATCTGAAAACATTTTTACTACTATAAATCAAGATTATAAATGTGAAAATATAAGTAAATTTTTAAATTCAACAATACTTAATTATAAAACTCTTCGTCGATTAAAATATTATCAATTACCATGTATACAAAATCACAAATTAAAATGCTTTTATGATGATAAATATATGTGTGTTTGTGATAATAATCGATATTCAAATTGTTTTGAATTTGATCATGTGTCCCATGATTGTCAAGGTAATAATTATTGTAAAAATAATGGCTCATGTTTTCAAGATAATCTAATTTGTCCATCAACTTCTGGATGTATATGTAAAAAATGTTATTATGGAAGTAAATGTGAATTAAATACCATAGGTTTTAGTACATCACTTGATGTTATATTTGGATATCATATAAAACCATTTATTTCATTTACAAAACAATCCACAGCAGTGAAAATAACAGCATCCATAACAATTTTAATGTTAATATTTAGTATTATTAATGGAATATTATCTATATTAACGTTTAAAAGTGAATCTTTACTTAAAGTAGGTTGTGGAATTTATTTATTAACAAATTCAATTGTATCGATATTAACAATAACTGTATTTACAATAAAATATTTTCAACTTATTATTTTTCAAATGAAATCTATAACAAATGCATCATTTATTAATTTTAGTTGTATATTAACTGATGTATTATTAAAAATTCTACTTAGTTTTGGCGATTGGTTATATGCAGCTGTAGCTATTGAAAGAACATCAAATGCTGTACAAGGAATACATTTTAATAAGTCAAAAAGTATATATATAGCTAAATATGTTATACCGATAATATTATTATTGATAAGTTTATCTTATATTCATGATCCAATATCTCGTCGATTATTTAATGATGATGATGAACAAAGAACATGGTGTATTCTTGAATATTCATTAAATTTAAAAACTTATGATAAATTTATAAATTTATTTCATGTTTTAACACCATTTATAATTAATATCTTATCTGCTATATGTATAACAATTCAAGTATTTCGAATACGTGTAAAAACAAAGAAAAAGTCAACATACAAAAAACTTCTTTGTATTCAAGTTCAACAACATAAACATCTTCTTATTTCACCATGTATTTTAATATTATTATCTATTCCTCGTTTGATTATTTCATTTTTATCTGGATGTATGGAATCAGTAGGTACTCCATGGTTATACTTAACTGGATATTATATTTCATTTATTCCACCATTACTTATTATTATATTATTTATTTTACCTTCGAGAACATACAAAGATGAATTTATTTCTATTATAAGAAAAATAAATTTTATTTCAAAATAACAATGATACTTTTTTTTTATTTATTATCATCTATATTATCATTTCATTATTAATTTCGAATACAAACGTTCAAAATATATTCTTTAAGTGGATAGTGGAATGTACTTATACTTATATGTTAATATTACTTTTGATTTTTTTCTTTTGCTTTTAAAATTCCTTCTAAAATAAATAAAATCGTACATTATTTTATTTTACATTGGATTGCTTTTGAATGAAATAACTTTGAATTTGTTGAATTTTATAAGTGCTTGTTTTAATATATAAAATAATGTAGTCAATTGTTTAAGTTTTTATATACAACGAGAAAATTTTTGATCTTTTCAATCTTTTTTAGCAATAATAACATCAAATCATCATAATCATAACCATAACTCTAATACTAATTTACTTATCTTCAGTTAGAATCAATCAGGTTTGTAATACTACTTTAATATAATAATGTATGAAATGTATGATATTTTGAGATTTCAAGGGCTGGGTATATATGTGTGATCAAGAGTATGTCTATACCCACCCTATGATATTAGTTTTTCTTCGCGTAGAAATATTAATCTCAACCATATTCATATTTTTATATTGAGGAAGTGGGGTATGGATGATAGATAAGTAAAACACCCATATTCATACCTTCGAACATAAATGAAGAACATACATCTTGAAGATGTGAATGCCTATGAGTAACTATGTAGTTGGTCGATAAATTTTTGTTGACACAACTTTTCGTTAAAATGCTTAGATGGAACGCAGATGGTCATAAAACATTTACTTAGTATAGGTGTCTGTGAAGGAAATAAATGAGGGTATAAAAGCATGAATGACAGTCTGATTTTCGAAATAATTACATAAAAATTTCTTTCAGATTTGATAGAAATAAAGGGAGTAGCAGTTAACAAATATTGAATCTGGTATGGCAACATCAACATAGTATATACGATAGAACTTGATATAGATAACTGTTTCGTGATGATGAACTTATAATCTAATACGAAATTTATGCAAAACGATGATTTTTTTATGTTAAACGATCATAAGTCCGTTCTATCAGTTATGTTACTTATAATAAAAAAGAAAACAATGTATCAATAACACTGATAATAACAGATTTAAAAAGATGTCAATGGTATGAAAGTTAATAATAATAGTTATTATTGTATTGATTAGGATACTGTTGTTGCTGAGAATAATTTCGACCTGAATTAGGTCGATTTTGATTCTGATTGTTGTATGGTTGTTGCTGCTGTTGTTGTTGTTGATTATAATAACCATAAGCTTGCTGATCTTGTTGATAGCCACCTTGTTGGTAACCACCGTGTTGATAGCCACTTTGTTGATAACCACTTTGTTGATTTCGTTTTTGATGTTGACTCGCATTATTTCTTTGTGGTTGTGACTGCGGTGGACCTGGAGCTGGAGCTGGAGCTGGTTGTACTTGTTCTTGTTCATATTCTTCTTCTTCTTCTTCACCTTCGTAGTATCCTTCCTAAAGTAATACGTTTAATAAAAAAAGAAAGATATCGCAAATGAATAAAACATACGCTGAATGGTTCAACATCATCGAAATTCACAGTATCTTGAGTATCATAACCTTCAAACATGACTGCACATTTTTGTGTATCATAAATAACATTCATCACAATAGCAGGATAATACTAAAACCGGGAAAAAATTTATATTTTTCTTAGAAATAAAATAGATATTCTCACTTCATTATCTTCATGAAATCGAGCTAATACTTGATCACCACTTTCAAATTCAAATATTTGTTTCTAAATTAAACAAAATTTAACATTAATTAAATAGAAAGAAAATAAAATAACTTGAATAGCACTGGATACACGTGATTGATTTGAAGATGCCGTACCAGTTTGTTGACTAGGTTTTGAGTTAAGAGTTTGAGTTTTTCCAGTAGACGAAGAAGAAGTAGAAGGAAAAGAAGGAAATTTTTGCGGAGCCGCTAAAAGAGAATTATTTAGTAAAAGAATAATACAAGACTAATTTTACATTTAGTTTTCATTGCAAAGAAATCAAACAAAGTAACATCTTTACTTGGACGTGTCTCTTCGCCTCCATCATCACCCCCACGTCCTCGACCACGTCGACCACGTCCAAAACCACCACCACGTCTTGATCGATCATCATCATCATCATCATCAAAATTACGTCTAGCTGGTTGTTTACGATCAGATTGTGGTCGTCGTTTCTCTTCCTCAGTTGGCTCATCAGCAATTTGATTTTTTGCCCATTCTGGTACTAGAAAATAATCGATATATAATGGATGTTTAATTTCAATTCAAAACATATGCTTACATCGAGTATTAGCTTTAATTGCTGCAGCTGCTGCTGTCAAATTAGTTGGTTTATTAGAAATAGTTGATAAAGACGAAGCCGAAGCTGTATTTGGTCTTTCAGTTGGCATTCGTTGACTAGCTTGTTG